TGGCCTTTTAGTAACATTTGCAGAAGACCCAGAACTAAGAGTTCAGATCATAATGAGCAAAATAAAAGTAGGTACTTTTAAATTTGGTTTGTTTCCACTTGCAGCACCACACGTCAGTAAATAGTTAAATCACTTTCTAAAAGGCCGACTGACCCCAAAAAGAGTCGATAGCTCTATGCATCGATATGTAGCCTGCACAGAGTGACCGTTATGCCTCAGGCTTTTCCTCCTTCAGAAGAAAGGCAGCCCCTCCCTGAACTCAGGCACACATGCTGCGATTTTAGCCCAATTTTAGGCCAGATTTGGTCACAACCGACAGAATTTCAGGATCGGGATGACTTTCGGCTTCATTGGTCATCGTTTGGCGTGCAGTGTGTGTGTGTTGGGGGGGTGGGGGGGTGGGGGGTGGGGGGGGGGTGATTAACTTCCCAAACAAGCTCTGATTGCAATGCAGACCACACACAAACAAACATTGTCGCTGTCCAAAAAACACTAGTATCTCCAAAATGGTAACTTTACAGAAGAATAATAGAGATTTAATTCTGAGCACTTTTGGAGTGTTTCTATTGGTCCATTCGTCACGAAATTTTCACACGAAAATGGAGATATTTGGTGGGTTTGTGGACAGTGAGGATATTCACAACTACTGGCTCTACAGAGGTGGACACATGTAGGTGAACCAAATTGAGGCCAAAAAAGGTCGTGGCACCAAACGCCAAATACACCAAGTTTTCACTGAATAGAACTGTGAGGTGTAAAAGGTAATATGTTGATTTACTAAATTGCCTTTGCAAAAAAGGCTGTGGGCTGTATTGTTCGTCTTCATCTGGTTTTGGTTTTAGTCCACAGTGTGGCACAAGTTAGCAAAGCCGCTGTAGCTCAGCCTTAGCTTTACTGTAAGTTGTCCAGAGACAGAGAAGTCTGCCCTCCAAAAAAGCCATTAGAGCCATTATGAGTCAAATCTGAGTTTTGCTTTTTAATGGGAATTGGAATAGTAATCACTCGTTTCCTGTAAGACACCTTCAGATCATCAAATGCGTCTGGAATCAGAACACCTGTTAAACCATTAGAGCCCTTTACTCTGTGTTATCAGCCCATCAGGAAAACACTAACCAATATTAGTCGCTATTGGACACCAGAAAGTTGGACACATAAACGTTTAATAGATTCTATGCCTTTTTTATGAAGATGTAGAGGCTGTATTTCATGTAGATTGTCAACCAGAGCATTTTTGTAGTGTCTATTCAGGTCTATCAGCCTGCCTGTACACGGTTTTGCTTGCGGCCAACAGCGGGTGCTTTGTTTTGAGATGGTTATGCACGAAGTATTTTTTTGTTGTTGTTGAATTTCAGTAGACTTACACAGTTTGGAGTTAGCATTAGCAGTTAGCATTCTCCTCCAAGCGTGTTGAGCTCAATGCTGTGTGTCAGAGGCAGTTTGAAAAGACAGTAGAGCCTCAGGTGTCTCAGAAAAAGACTCAGCTGCCACGGTTCATGGCACTGGGTGATCTACACCGCAAGAAATATCTAAACATGTCTTTTTTATATAATTTAAACACACTTTCTCCGTTTCTGCATTTCACTAGAGCTTTTCTGCATTTACCTGTCGCCCCTAGAGATGAGATGACGTTTTCATGTCACTACCGAAACACAGAGTAGTGCCCCTGTATTTTAGAGCAGGACGTGAGGCTGCATCCCTGTCCCTCGTGGCCACATGGTGAGCAGTTAGATCCCATTGTTTTGACGTAAATGTGTCCAAAAATCTGAAAATCAGTGTGGAACATTAAGAATTGTCATTACTGAAACATATTTTTTTCGGTTAAGAACTTTTTAGTGCTGTAGTTAAAAATATGATGATTTTCTGTGTGAACAGCTGGTCAAAGCTGTGTTTGCTGGTCATGTACTGGCTGAGTTTTTGAGCTCAAAATGAGCTAAAACTGTCACCACTGAAACAGTCACTACTGAAACATTTGGTATGGAAGTTTGGGTAGAGTTATGATTGTGTTGGTAGTGATTTAATGGAATATTCAGTCATTAGTTTTAATAAAATAAACATAATTAAGGTATAGGGCCACTCAAAGTAAGGGTTTTAGTCTAAAAGTAAAAGTCAGTTAAAAACCCCAAATATGTTTCACTTCTGACTTCGAACCAGTACAGTAGAATCATCCACACACATGGAATAATTTCTGTAATTTAACAGAATTTTCTGTTTAAGGAGCAACAGCATTGTTACTTTACGGAACATGTACCGTCATTTTTTGTTAGTGGGAACTGGATAAAACTAGTGAGACAAATCCAACTTCTACATAAAATAGCCAGAGAATTTCCGTTTGTACCAGTTTTAATTTTATGGAACATTATTAAAATCGATTAATATGAATTCACACATTACAAAAACAACGCTGTTGATGAAAAATGATCACCTGCTCCAGCTCGAGGCCTCATTGCAGCCCTGTAGATGGACTCTCGGGGCTGTTTGTACTCTTTCAATCTAATTTTATTTACCCCTCATATCCACGTCCCCTGGTGGGAATAAGCGATCGGCGTTTGATCCGTGTCATCTGCTGCTCTCGTTCGTTGCTGTCGGCGCCGGGGGCCTGGAGGTGTCTTCTGCACCTATCAGTGTTTGATTTCAGCAGGGAAATCGATACGAGCAGGCGAGTGCTGTCAGACAGATGTGCCTGCCGCTGAAGTCTGCTTCAATGGAGCTGCATCATCACGTCAGCTCCGAAATTGCATTACACGTGATGAAAAATGAGTGGAGTTATTTCTCCCTGCAGAAAAGGGCCAGCGTGGTGTAAGCAACCTTGCGTGACAATTTGTCAAAGTCTGCGCCGCGTACGGGGAGCACAGCCGGCGTGTGTCGAGAGCACGCGCATTAAAATCTTGGCAGAGTGGTCTTTGATGAGGACGTGCGTTCAGATGTTATACACACATTCTAGCACGTTCAGTTCTGCGCTGAAGATCGGTCAGCAGAGAGTATCCACTGCTGTATATTAAAGGGGCACTCTGGTGACCATTGCTTCATCTGTCTTGAACATGCCCCCTCATCTGTTATGGTGGTGGTGCAGTGGTGTCTACGGTGAGATTTAACGGTTTAAAGACTAGGCAAACGTCCTCTGGTGATGTAGCAGGAAGGTGGGAGAAGCTTCAGAAAAACTACACCTATTTTGGGGCGAATACACGGCCTTCAATTATTTATTATTGCCTAATTAGCTGGCTAATGCAGAAAGAGGCTAGATTTGAATGGTTCCAATGGTTGTAATACATATTTGTGCAATGCATGCTGGATATTGTAGTTCAGGAACACTGAAGAACACAAAATTGTGGATTCTGTCAATAAGGGATGCAATGCTATGCTATAGTTTTTGTTCCTAAATGGTTTTATGTATAAATAAATATTATTTAAATAAGTTAGCCTTCCTGACCAATCAAATTAAAGTAATAGTTTGGCAACTGAGCTTAATTTACAGTTTTCCTCTTAGGCCAAGTACAGTGATGTTTGCTTTAGTTTTACACTGGAGCTATTAAGCTAATATAGCTACAGTTAATAGAAGCTTATAACCACCAGTTAGCATTGTGCTAACTACATACCTAACTCAGCACATTTGCCACAAAATATGTCGAGTTATTTATAAAGATGAACACATTTTGTCAGACAAACCACATTAGAGATGACTGAACAACCTCACAAGTCGTGATGCTAACTGAAGGGGTACAATTTCCATTGCTGATTAGCTACATTAGCCTTGTAGCCCCAGCAGGAAAACTAAAGAGGCAAACTTCAGACACCAAACATGTCTTGGCTGATCAACTGCATTTGGGCAAAGAGGGAGAAATGTGTAAATTACACTAAATAAATGACATTAAAACGAACGAAATCAGCCGAGTCTACAAAACATCAAAATAAATGTGTGATTAAATGTTACTACCTTGGCTTTAAAGGTGTTTAGGCACAACTAATCAAAGACTGCATAAGATCGAGTTGCCATGGCCCATTTGGCCGGTCCGCAAAGAGACCGAGATCAGTCTCATTAAAGATAATCAAATTTTACAGAACTGGTTCACAGCAAACAAATCAAAGAAGGAATCTCGTCTATCAGAGCTTCAAACTTCCCTTCATGGAAAACATGAAAAGTTGTCCTGCACTGATTTAAGGAGCTATAAATTGAGTCATTTGAAGTTGTCCTCATTTGAATGCTGAGGATACGGATGGGGATTTGTCCAGATTCTGCGACTTTTAACACTTTTTGTAACATGAATAATCTGACAACGGCATGAGCCACAAAGGCCGTGATGGGGTCTGGACATGATCTTTATTTCACACTTCAAATAAGCCTATAAAGCCTCTAGTGGGAATCTAAAGAGACAGAATTAATCCCCTCTGTTATTAAAACCTAATTGGGATTAGGGGGCGGTAGTCTTTTCATTAAAGCCTGCAAAAAAAAAAGTGCTACTAATTAAACTTGCACCAGATATCAGATTTGATACCAAAGGTAAGGTTTCATTTAAGGACTGTGGCAGCATTACGAAGGCAGGGTTGAACTTGCAGGACATTGCATTTTGTGACTTATTATGCTGCCGCCAGTGGCCTGTGGACACCTTTGAAACTTTGACGGCCAAAACATTTTTTCAAAAGCCCCGAAATGCTAAGAGCGAGGCTTTGGCAAGATGCACAGATGTGATCAGAATTTGTGTTATCTCTCACAAACAGGCTTTTCTTCATTATGATTTGAATATTTTGCTTTTGAAATGTGTTAATTATCATTCTAATAGGTATTTATTTGAAGGTTTGTTTATTTTGCAGATTTTAAGATCAGTCGCTGTTGGATTTGTGCTTTGTGTTATATTAATAAACTGCTGCCTTTATTTTTGTCACATCTAAAAGCTCAGTTATATATTTACATTTATTCCTTGTCACAGTTCACTTTTTGTCATGTTCTAGTAACTGAAGTGTAATAATCTTCCTTTTTTCTCTTCTTGTGTTTTTGTCTTTTACAGATACAGAAGAGAAAAAATGCTGGCCAGGATTGTTTTCCTTTGTTCCTTTTTCGTTGGTGCAAGGTTTCAGGATGTTGAGGGCATTAAGGCATCGTACAAAGGAGCTTGTGAAGCCTTGTGCTCCTGTGAGGAGAAAGATGGAGTTCTGTACGTGAACTGCGAGGAGAGGAACATTAACAAGATCTCAGAAGTCAAAGTACCGTCAGACAGACCTTTCCACCTGAATCTCTACAAAAACAACTTAGTGGAGCTCCTTCCAGAGGACATGGAACCTTTCAAGAATGCTGTCACTTTGCATCTTGGTGCCAACAGCATACAAGAGCTGGAGCCCGGGGTGTTCAGTACACTGGGTTCCCTGAAGAAGTTGCACATCAACAGTAATTTCCTGGTCATGTTGAAGGAGGACACTTTTCATGGCTTGGTGAATTTGGAGTACCTTCAGGCTGACACAAACTTCATCCGAGTCGTGGAGCCTGGGGCCTTCAGCAAACTTGTCCGTCTCAAGGTCCTGATCCTCAACGACAACTCCATCGAGTTCCTCCCGAGCAACATCTTCCGCTTTGTGCCTCTGACCCACTTGGACCTGCGTGGGAACAAGCTTCAGACCTTGCCCTATGTGGGATTTCTGGAGCACATCGGCCGCATCATCGAGCTCCTGCTGGAGGACAACGATTGGGTCTGCGACTGCCAGATCCTGCACTTGAAGATCTGGATCGAGAACATGCGAGCGCAGTCGTCCATCGGGGAGGTGGTCTGTAGCAGTCCCCATCATCTCAGGGGAAGCACACTGGCCAAGGTGAAAAGGGATGTTCTTTGTCCCTCTCATGCTGACATAAACCTTGAGGAACCTTCAAAGTCTCTGGATATGGTTGTGACCCCTTCTACAAAGGTGATACAAATACCAGATGCCAGAGATGACGCAAAGATCCCGACACCTGCCCATGTCCCGAAGACATCCTGCGTCGCCCACTGCTCTTGTCACAATCATCCCAGTGCTGGATTCCTAATCCACTGTGAGGACCGAGGCATTCAGAGGATATCTGATCTGGGAATTCTTCAACAAAGTCCTAGCAAGCTTGTGTTAAGTGGGAACATGATACAGAGACTTCTGAAATATGATTTTGTCACGTATGACAGTTTGGAATTGCTGAACTTGGCAAACAACCAAATAGACTACATTGACAATGAAACTTTCTTGAGTTTGAGCAACCTGAAAAAGCTTTACCTAAATGGAAATAGGATCGAGAAAATCTCTGCGACCATGTTTCTGGGGCTCCACAATCTGGAGTACTTGTATTTAGAATATAACATTATAAAGGAGATAGAGGCGGGATCATTCAACCCTTTGACAAACCTTAAGCTCCTGTTCTTGAACAACAACCTGCTCAATGCTCTGCCAGCACAAATATTCAGAAATGTGCCCTTGACTAAGCTGAACCTGAGGAAGAACCTGTTCATGCATCTGCCAGTCAGTAATGTATTGGATCAGCTTGATTTCCTGGAGCAGATCTACCTTGAGGACAATCCATGGGACTGCACTTGTGACCTGGTCAGCCTCAAGCAGTGGGTGGAAAAGCTAAGGAAAGATACGCTGGTGGGAACTATCTTGTGCCACAGTCCAAAGAAGGTGGCCAATGCTGAGATCAGGAGCCTAAAACATGACCTTCTCTGCCCTGGTCTGGTCACTCATAACTCTTTGAGTAATTCAGGTGAATTTGGAGTTTTAACAACAGCAGCCCCTGACGGGGGCACTAGCGGCTTCTTCCGATCCTTAACAGAGGCTGTTCCCCTCTCTGTTCTCATCCTCTGCCTTCTCATCCTCTTACTGACTGTCATCTTCTGTTCTGCTGGGATCGTGGTCTTCGTCCTTCACCGTCGCCGCCGGCAGTCAAAGAAAAAGCAGGCTGAGGAACAGCCTCGTGAAAGCAGTCCCCATCCACCTGCATTACAGCATGTATGGACAGAAGACAACCCACCACGTGGCCGAGAGGCATGCTACGGCCATGTACGACGAACCTTCCAGAAGTCCCATCGTACAGGTGTGCAGAAACCCCAGCTACTGCTCCCAGCACAAGGAGTATGACACTGAGGATTACGAGGCAGAGAAACCAAACCACATTTGCCACAGCATTGCAGACAAGGAGAACGGCTCCCCCTTAACAGGATCCACATTGAAGTACAGGGCTGTAAGCGAGTACCCCGCTGAGTTTGTGGCTTTGGGGGATGCAAGCTCCTTGTACAAAAACATCCTGGAGCGGGAACGTGAGCTCCAGCAGCTCAGCATCACGGAATACCTCAGGAAAAACATCTCGCAGCTACAGCCGGCCGTGGACGTGCAAGTCCCCGGGCATCACAAAGAGCTGAAACTGATGGAGACATTCGTGTACACCAGACCGAGGAAGGTCATGGTGGAGCAGACTAAGAACGAGTACTTTGAGCTCAAAGCCAACCTACACACTGAACCGGACTACCTGGAGGTACTAGAGCATCAGACAGCTTTCAACTAAGATGCGTATACTGTCACATGTGGTTTGAAAGGTGATATTCAAAAAAGTGCCTTGACGAGTTTCTTTCAAACTGTCATTTTGAATTGTTATCAAGCAGACAAGGGTGCCGATTGTTTGGGTCCGACCTGATTGGTCTAACTCGTGAAACAGAAGTAGTCTTGCTCCTAGAAGTGCACGTCAGTGAGCCCTAGTGTAATTCAGCCGAGGGACAGGACAAAGGATGGAGTTACACCACATCAGGTCTGGCAGACATTCGTCTTTTCCATCCACTTTTGCCAATGCTGTCGATTCTTGACGGCTTGCCATAAACATCATGTGCCATGTAACGAATGCAGCCGCATGTTTCTACGTCGTAGTACATTGGCCTGAAACATGGGTCTAGCACTTTTCTTAATACGCACCTCTGCTTTTATCCATATGTGTGTGAAGTTCTATTTATTTTTGTAGCTATAATCTGTCCGTAACATTATTCCTCTGTCCGATAAGAGAAGCACTTACATCTCATAACAATCTAGTCCCAGCATTTGCTGCAAGGTCATAGTTTAAAGAGAAGAATTGCACTACTCGACACGCCATGCGAGAGATGGCACCTGACAATCAAAGTACTGTGAGGAAGTTCACGTGGAGATACCTGATGGGTGTGGCTACTGGTCTGTACAAGATTGTAAGATGTGGTGTTTTTAAATTGCATTGAATTATGAACTGATATTATTGACTATTTTCTCTCAGCATGATACTTATGCAGGGTGTTTTATCACATCTTTCTTTGGTTGGAAAGCTCAGCCTTGAAACGTTTCACTGTATGTAAGAGCACCATAGCTTTATTTTGTACCGATGTAGATCAGATTTATTTATTCTGTACATATTTGTACATAATTTAACATTTATATATGTCTGTGTGCCTTTTAATGTGGTAATGATGTAAATAAAGTTTATATTGAGTGTGTTACAGTATACTGGCCACCCCAAAACCATATATTGTACAGTAAAAGGCATTAATATAATAGCACTGGGTTTGTTTTCTATATCATGTTCCTTATGCAGGTGCAATTTCTATGGACTAGTGCATTTAACGAGAAATAACAAATTACTGTACTGAACATATTTTCTTTTTTCCTAATTTGTGCACAACCCCTGGAATATTTAATGCACATTCAATAAAGCAGGTTATATGAGGAAAACAATACACCTATATATCCTTTGTATTTTCCAAAGTGTTCATTCGTTTGGAAAACATAAGCTGTCAAAACAGACCGGAAAATTAATCAGCGGTGGAAGGTAAAAAGGAGTAATAAGGTGATGTGTGCAGTCTCCAAGAACACAACGCTCCCCGTCGATGCCAGAAATAAGAACCTGGCAGCTTTCTCTTGCCAAGGCCAAGAATACACGTCAAATAATTATGCTGCTACAAGTCATGCAAACATAAATCTGTCAACCCTCTTTTTTCCAGCCCCCTACCCCAGCGTGCCAGCTCCGTGCTGTACTTAATTATTCTGCAGTAGCCAACTCTCATGCTCTCTCTCGCCTTGCCATCACTTTTTATCTTCTGCTTTACTTTTTGCCTCCTTTTATGTGGGAATATATTAATTTTCATTAGGCATTTTGGTGGAAATAATCACATGTGCACTGTTTTTCTTCTTATTTAAAATGTAGTCAGTCAAGAAATGTTTGGTGTCTGAAGTTTGCGTCTCTGGAGCTACAAGACTGCGGTAGCTAGCAAGTAATAAAAGCTCATACCCCACCAATTAGCACTGTGCAAACTACTCTGTTTCGTCCGTTCTTCAGACACCAAACATGTCTTTACTGATTGGCTATGTTTGGAGAGGTAGTGCATTCTTTTACATTGTACTAAATTCAGGTAAGTGTGAGGTACAAAAGTAAAGTCTTACCAAATTACACCTGTCCAAAAATGTAATAGGTATCAATTTGGTAAATCTGACTTAAACTCAATAGTGCTGTGTGATCATTTTGGGTAATTGTGTTATTTTTACACAAATAAAGGGCAGAATCTGTACAGTATGTACCTGTTTATTAGTTATAAGCCAGGGTTTCTCAACCAGTGGGCCTTAGGCCAGCAGTAGGACCCTCTGGTGGTCCTTGGGCCAATACCTAGGTGGACTAATGGTCCATAGTGGGCCTTGCCAAGGTACTTGGTCATAAAAATCAGTGAAAAATCTATCTAGTGGTCAGTGATACACATGGTATGTTATGGAACCCAAAAATTGCTGTGTTGAAATTTTCCCAAATGCTTTTTTTTAAGCTAAGTTTTTTTCCTGTGGCCTTCATGCTTTCTAGTGATAAATAGGTGGACCTTGAGGTGGAACAGTAGACTATAAACTAAACTGAATCTGGGCTGTAGAAGAAAGCAGTGTGGTTCTACTGGGTTCATTTACTTCAGAAGACTATCTCTGTACGTTGTGCTGTCATTTTATATTATATAACTTACCTGCTACTTGGAGGAGTTTCAGATTTGCTTTACTGCTTAAACATGTGACTTTACAGTGATATTTACTTTGAATATGTTTGTGTTATTTATATTTATTTATTTTACTGTATCCTTTATCAGCTTATCACAGAGAACCTGTGAGCCATTTCCACGCTATATGTAGTTATAGTGTCATTTCACTCAAATTAATTGCACAGCACTCAGATGTACTATCTAGAACATCACAGTTTAGCAACACTGTCCCAGATCATGATACCCAAAATAATTATCTAGTACATTGGAGTGTACTTACATCACACTTAACTGGTTAATACCTACAATGTAGGGGACTGTAAAGAAAAGTGTTACCCATTAGTGTTCCCAGGTCTTATTTACCCTGTGTTACCAAGATTCTAGGTTCCCAGGGTCCTATGTTCACAGGGTACTGCTTTCCTAAGGCCCTATGTTAACAGGGTCCCATTGTGGTGCAACCCCTTTTTGGTGCTATATAGAACCATTTTCGAAAAGGTTCTATACAGAGCCATATACAACACATTCTCCTTTAATCTTAAGAACCATTTCACAATGCAAAGAACTGAAGCATGAAATGGTTCTATATAGAACTTATGGGTCTAAACAGGAGCATTGCCTTTACTGAAGAACCCCTGAAGAACCTTCCTTTTAAGTGTGCAGAATATTTTTAGCAGGATTTTATGTTCCCAAGGTCCAGTGTTCCCTGGGTCTGTTGCTCCCAGTGTTCTGTTTTCTCTTAGTCCTATGTTTCCAGGACCCGGTGTTCCTGAGGTTCTATGCTCCCAAGGCCCTGTGATTACAGGACCTGGTGTTCCCAAGGTCCTATGTTCCCCATGCCCTGTGTTTCCAGGACCTGGTGTTCCCAAGGTCCTATGTTCCCCATGCCCTGTGTTTCCAGGACCTGGTATTTTCAAGGTTCTATGTTCCCCAGGTCCTATGTTTCTAGTATCTGGTGTGCCCAAGATTCTGTGCTCCCAAGGTCCTATGATTGCAGGACCTGGTGTACCCAAGGTCCTATATTTCAAAAGCCCTATATTCACTAGGTCCTATTTTCCCAGGGTATTTTGTTTGCAGGGTTTTATGTTTGCAAAGCCCTTTATTCTCATGATTGCCAATTTTTTTGCAATGTTATTAAAATTGTGAAGTTTAAATAAAATAATGAGTAAACTAGGCCTGTCATGATCATAACATTTTAGCTGATAATTAATTGTTGCATAAGTCATTGCAAGTTAATTTAATTGTCTTGTTGGCTTATTGTATTCAGCTATTAATGCACTAGCTTAATGAATTAACTGATTAGCTGTCTTGCCTCTGAGCTGTTTAATGCGGTTGGGCTGTCTAACAATATTTATCGTTATCTTGATAAATTACAAAACGTTATGCCACAATATGCCTTCCTGAGCATATTATGGACACCAGTATTGACTAAAATGCATGTTTCATTACAAAAACAGAATAATTAGTCCTGTTTAATAGGACTGCAGTGTGTGAAACATAGAAAAGAATCACTGTATTCACAGCTTTTGATGGTATGTATTAAATGGTGGGCTCTAAATATGAAGGGACTACTGTCTCTTCTGCTTTACCAAACCTCAGAAAAGCAAAATATTTTGTTGTATATCATGAAAATATCTTGAAGGATGGGCCTCAATTAAACGAGCATCACTCTAAAGGTCCTCTAAAGGTGCTAAAAGCACCAGAACTTACCGTTAAGCTTTTCTGGAAAACCCTTGATGTGTCTTTCTGTTTTCTGCTCTCTGTTATTTACATGTTTATCCTGAGGCCAACAAATGAAAATGCACCCAATTCACAGTGTTACAATAATGGCCATCAGTTTAAATAACAGCGATCAGGCGATTATGTAATAACTGTCAGGCCTATTAATAGCTGAATAGTCCTGTTTACTGAAAAATGAATCTATATCAAAGCAGAATTTCAGATATTATTTACTGAAAAGACACATAATATCAGAATATGTATGTTTCTGTGCAGATAAAAAGCTCTGCAAACAGAAGAGCCTGGGAACCTAGTGCTGACCCCAGGGAGGAAAGGGGAGAAGTGTAAATTAGATTTTCGGCCGAACTATCGCTTTAAAGCAGTTCAGACAAACGCAGGGTCGCGAGGGTTCAGGCGGTGCTCTTTTGGCGGAGGAGGCTGAGGGGGGACAGGAGGCCTTCTGACAAGCCAGCGCTTTTGGCTCCCAGTAAAGTGCAAAACAATGTTCACTTTCAGGAGTGGTTTTCTTTATTTCATGTATGTAAATCAGTGTGACACTGAATATTTTAGCAGGGCAGGGGGACAAAAAACACGCCGCGAAATTGCGCACGTCCAAAACGCAGTCGCATGCAGTCACGACAGGCTGTAGTTACAATGACTGCGTGGATAACATAACGCTGTTTTGACAGTTCGGTTTGCATGCAATGCCAAATGACAGTAGTGAGTGGGAGTCTGGTAATTAAACGGGCCTGAATGTTTTGGATATGCAAAAAAGAGAAAGAAAGGAAGAATAAAGGAAAAGACATCCTCCCTCCCTCCCTCCCTTCTTGAACAGCCTCAAACCTTTAAAGCACTGGTGTGAACCCGCATTGCCCCCCAGAGTCACATTAGAACAACAGAATCTCGTTTTTTTTAGGTCACCCATGCCTGATTTTGGGACACTTTACAATGCAATGTGACTAATGCTCTGTTGCTAACTGGATCACATACTCCAGAAAGCACACAGGCCTAACGCTGAAAGGACAGGACGCTGCTTTCTGTGACTGCACGCTTGTGCAGGTGACTTGCTACGACCCTGGATGACACAGCGTCCAAACTGCCTCAGCCTTCACTTCTCCTTGGCTGTAATGTTGGAGGCAAACTGCCTCACTTTAGACAGATCTGTTCTACCACAGAGCTTCCATTAGCTCGTACAAGTGTGACATACTGAAACGTGTAGAATAATCCAAACACGCTCTAAAAGGGCTTCAACTTCTAACCTTGTTAAAAATGTGCCACAGGGTTCTTGAAAGATATACGTCATCTGAAAAAAAGATGTATGAGTGTGAAGAACCATTTAAAGGTATATATATATATATGTTCTTCCTGGTTCTTTAAACTTTTACAAGGGAAACAAAATGTTTATTTCATGGCATCATGCAAATAACCGTTTCTGGCACCTTTAGTGTAGTGTAGGTTGGTCTGACTGATACTGGTTTGATCTACACTGGTTTGATCTAGAACCCTGAAAAAAGGGCTCTCCAATAGTTCTGTAGTGAAGACAATGGTTATGCATAGAATCTTGACATCTTGAAAAAGACTTTTGAATGCCTAGATGGTTCTTTTCATTGGTAAATTGTTCTCTATGATGGATAACTTGTATATGTTTTTATAGAACCTTTAAAAGTGGTTTTATATAGCACCATAATAGGGTTCCACTATTCTTACAAGTCAAAAAAACTTCCTGTAGTACTATATAGCATATTTTTGCTATAAGTGTACTGTAGACTGTAGGTTTGATTGTAGATTGGTCTAGAACCGTTTTAACCAAACCTGGT